ATGGAGGGTAATTGCTCTGCTTTGTCAATCCGTCATCAATTCATGAACACTGCAGGGCGTAGGTGCAACCTCATGTTCAAGGAATTATATATGCAACTCCCATTATTGTTTGTTGTTCAATAAACAGCTTCTAATGACTAAAGCTGTGTGTGAGCTGTTACTTAACAGCTAAAACATTTGCCAGAACTGTCATTGCCCTCCTAGCACTGAACTTGTTGTTTGTGAATTCTCAGAGATATCTCGATTGAGATTATTAACTACTTTGCAATCAGTTTTTCTTGAGTGTTAATTGTGCTGTGAAATCCTGGGATATTGTGTTAAAAACCATTCAGAAGTCAGTGTCGCATCACAGATGGATTTTTGTGCTTGGAAGATCAGATGCCTAAGTTGTGGGCACAGTCTGCCTATAAAAACTATTTTTGTCATGAATTGTGCATTTAGGTGCACAGGAGGGATACTTGTGGTGTTTGTACACACACGCACCACAACTGCCTACCTTCATACCCTTTCCTTGCCGTCTCTAATATATAACCATTGGATGTTATGGCAGGGGGTCCGAGGAATTATTGACAGGTATTTGATGTATAAGAAAAGCCTTTACAACACAATAAGAAGTCCTGCTTGGTGTATCTGAGTCATTTAAAAAACTGTTTCAGGTTGTAGAATTTTACAAATGGAAAAATAATAGTCTTGTTCTTCCCCCACAAAGGTGCGTGCATAGCTCTACCTATAATGTTCCGTAATTGGATTAAATATTAGTTCCCTTTTGTACCCAGACCGTGCAAGCAGCTTGTAAATTATGGAGTAAAAATGTGGAGCTTGTGAATACCCAGTAATAAGTAATGCTCATGCATCCTGGGCTATAGCAATAAAAATGGTGCTGATTTAATGAGTCATGAGCATTCCTGAGCTCGCAGCAAGAAGTGTAGGGACAGACCTGGGTTTTCTTGCCTTTGAGGTGTGCACGAGTCTTCCTCTCCCAGGTAGCAGTTGGGTTTGTTCAAGTGAATGCCAATGATAGTTTTATATCTCAATAAAATGGTGGTATCAGGTTATAGATAATACTTCTCACCCTGCAGAATTCCTAGTTGCTTTTCTAACCCACCTGATTCCCGAATCCTGCAAATACAGCTATATTGGCAGAAAAGTCCATTGTGCAATGGTAAGGAGGAAAGGAGGAGGCTTACGTCAAGGAGAAGGGAGCACAGAAGTGCTGTGACTTTTCTACCACCCACGGGGACACCTGGCAAATCTTGCATGAAAGGCCACCTTTGTGGGGTTGGGAATCGAGAGTGCTTTTCCCTTTTGTGGCACTCATCCAGGGTGGCTAGGGAGGTGTTTTCATCCTTGCCTGCAATTCCCCCATCAGAAGTGAAGATGCTCATACTCCTTATTGTGTTCCATCTATTTTCTGTAAAGTGGAGGAAGTCTTTTTCAAGACTGGGTCTGTACTGCGAGGTTGTGCTGGTATCACCGCACGGGAGCTGGGGTTATGAAAAATTAATCACCCCATCACCCGTGTTGTTAAACTTCTCTCTAGCAAGGACACTAACCTACTGTCTTTCCATCCTGGTTCTGCTATGAAAACGAATGTTCATTTACAAACATGGAAGGAAAACCATTAGCATTCTTTCAAATCAAAATATAATCTCATCTTCCCGATTCCAAAGCCCATCCCTCCTGGCAAACCTCATTAATTATCCCAGACAGGTGTTTTTCAACAAAAGCTCCTTCTTGCGTTCTCTCTTCTTCTCCAGCCTCCTACTTGAGCTAATGATGCTTCAGTGATGCCTCTGGAACAACGGAGCAATTCGTGTAACTAGAGGTTGGAGAGAACAAAGGAGGGATGGTAATTGAGGAAGGGTGCCGAGGAGAGGCGGCCGGAGCGGAGTTCCTCTACCCGTGTAAAGAGATTGCTCGTTATTGGTGATTAGGGAGGAAGCATTACAGAGCCAAAAAGAAAGTAGCTGTGCTGAAAAATGTTCTTTGGCAGTTTATTGGTATGCAGACACTGCTCTATGACAGGACCGCAGACGTCGGTATGGTGCCCTTTGCATCCTTGTGTCAATGGACTGTGGGTTTATATTAAGAGAAGGGAACTTGGCATCGCCTCCGCACAGGTCTTATGGGAAGACACTTAGCCTGTTTCTTTAAAAAGCTCCTGGGTACAATTTACAGCTGCAGCAGCATTGTTTACTAACACTCTGTGCATAAATTGGGTACTTCTCTCTGGAAATAGCCGGGTGTCTTTTCTGTGTGGACGTCTATGTGCTTCCACGAATACTCGATGCATATTCGTAATTATTGCAAGTCTTCTTTTGTGGTTTTTGAAAACGGGTCCTGACTGCTCGGTTTATGTCCAGACAATAGAAATGGGACGTTTTTGTCAGCAGGTATGGTAGCAAAAAATATATATAGGTGTTTTGCTAGGCTAGTTGACAAGAAGCCCTACCTTGCCTAATGGTACTGTGTTTTCACAGTTCATATGTGCTTATGCATAGGAGCTCCCCAGTCCCTGCCTCGTCCAAATGCATACAGACGTTCATGTTCCGAACACTAAAAATCAGCAGAACTCAAATACTCTTTCAAGCATATTTGAATTGGTAATCAGCTACTCTGAAACTTCAAACCAGCTTATAACATTTCCAGTATGAAAACCAGGCTCAGGTGTGACCTCACGTCCAGGCATAAGTAGTTATTCTTTTTTATTTGGCAAGGCAAGAGCTCTTCTTTCAGGAGGGAATGTAAGTATCTTCCTTGCAAAATCCACCAATGAATAAAATTACTTCCAGCTAAGTTTAGGTAATTCTGCCTGTATGGAGGTCAGAGACCGTAAAAATACTGTGCAAAAGGCTCACGGTGAAATGTATCCACTTCTTTACTCATTGGGGAAAGGGAAAGGACTTTAAGACCAAAAGCGCATTCTGAAAGCTCCGAGAAAAGTAGCATTAGGATTTTAAATTATACAGAAATATATTGATGTTTCTAGTGGGACTCTAAGAAAGCGCGGTGCTGGCTCACCCCCCCCTTAGTGTGCGGTCAGGAACCTGCTCATCAGAGGTAAGAGGAACTCAGCTGTTTCAGGAGCTTTTTTTTTTTTTTTTTCCCGCAAAATGTACAGGCTTTAACTGTCTCCTCCGGCAAATCCATCGATGTTTTGCTTTCAGGTGGATTTTACCATTTCCCGCAACACCCTCTTTACCATAAAATCTTCGGCAAGCTTCGTATAAAAATACTTTATTGGGGTTTTCAGAAGGCAGCTGACACAAGGAGAGGTACAAGCAGACTCAACAGCACAAACTGTCAATTCTCAGTACACTTACTTCAAAGGATATATTTTAACCCCTATATAACGGTCAGACTGAACATATCACAAGACTGAAATATCATATATACAAAACAAGACATCATTTAAAACCTGACTTTAAGTGACAATACTGATCTACTCAACAAGTACGACTGGAATAAAGTTGGGTGGCACTTTCTTTTATTCCTACAGCAGCCAAGCAGCAGTTTGCTTACAACAGTGCAGTGCAATTAGCAATCACAACATCGTAAGCTTTTGGGTACTACTTTACAGCGTTCGGGTTTCTATTTGTCATTGTAGTTTTCAGACTTATGATCTTGAACTTCCCGGTACACTACTGTCAAATATGAGCATTTGCCATGGCAACTAATTCTGCATTTGTATTACTATGTCAGTGAGCAGTGCCAGCAGAGACGGGCAGCTGAAGTCTTTCGCTTCACGGTCACACCACATCTGCTCCCAAAGAGGTTACAGAATAAATGGGCAAGTACGATGAAGCATGAGATGGGAAGCAAAGAGAAAACGCCCAAGATTTTATGTTAAGACTGAGGCTAGAGCCCTGCTCTCTTGAATCTGGTGCTCTGTCTGTGGAAAGAGTTGACTGCTTTAAAAAAACCCTAAAAATTAAAAAAAAATGATGCTTAAGTTGCCTGGATCAGCTCAACCCAGGTCTCTGTTCAAATTACGTATTTTTAAAAGGAAGCACGCAAGAGTTGCTAAAATTAAGAGGTCTGAAACAAACTTTAAAAAATGGAACACAAGTTTCACTTCTCCCAGCGTTTGTCGTTCTCTAACACATTGCAGGATCTTAAAAATACCCTTTTGGCAGAAGAGATTTTAAAACGTCTTTGGGTCGACACGGGGGAGACTCGGGCGCAGCCGCTGGCCCCTTTCCCCCTCTTCTCGGGGTGCGCCAGGGCTCCAGTGCCCGGCGGGGCCAGGGGCTGCCTCGCTGCTGCTGCCCAGCGCCGGGCAGGAGGGCAGGCGATGCGCCGGGCGCTGCGGGAGCACCGCTCTGCGGGCGGCCCCACGCAAAGGTAATCGGGTCGGTTTTGAAGCGGGGACCAGGGAATGCCAACAGGGCGCTTCAGGATGCTCGACGCCTCCGAGTCTGGCCGGAGGCTCCTTCGGGCAGAGATTGGTCCCTTCTTGGGGAGTGGAAGGGACGTCGATTGCACCATATGCAACGGGCATCTAGACTGCGGCTGGAGCAGCAATGAGAAATGAGGCGTTTTCTTCTCTTTCTGTATCGTCACACGTTTCATATCTTAAGTGTAAGGAAAAAAAACCCTCCCATTCATGGGAAACATCAGGTTTGCGAGCAGGCAAAATGTAGTTTAGTCCAGCGAGTTTAGGTTAGGTGTTTATTCTTGTCAGCTTTTATTTTTCAGTTTTTAATGAAATGCTGGTGCCGCTCCGGCTGACTAGGTGGCAGCAGAGCTCTTTCGTGGCACCTGCAAGTGGAGGACACAGATTGCCTGTGATTAACGTCAAAAAAAAGCCCCTTACCCTTCCATTCACCGTGATTTTGTTGTTGATGGACTAGAATAAATGAATAGTGGTCTCACGGCTGCCTTCCTCGCGTGGCCCAGAGCACTGCTCCCAGGTTCTTCCGAGGAAGCAAGCTACAGTACTTTTCCATAACACGGGTGGATTAAAGCAAGGCTCTTCTTGTCCGCACACAGGGCTGCCTTCACTTCCAGCAGTTCTGAAGGGGATCGTGAGGTTGAATCTTTAGCTTCTTGGGACAGAGGAGTTTAATAAAAGCTCTCCTGAAGCTGTAGTGGCAGAGAGGGTAGAGGACAGGGTTGATGGCCGAGTTGATCCACAGCAGCCAAAAGGAAGTCTCGTACCAGTAGTCAGAGATGCAGTGGCCGTGGCAGCCAGCGCGGATGATCATCAGGAGAGTGTATGGTGCCCAGCAAATCCCAAAAATGCCCACGATGATTGCCAGTGATTTAGCCACTTTCTTGTCTCTAGAGAGCCTGAAGCGTTGAGTCATGCTCTGGGACACTATCTTCATCCGTTTCTCTAAGGACAGAGTGGATGCTGAATTTTTACAGCTCTTTTTGTTGCAACACTTGGGTTTCCCGGAGCTCTCGGAGCTTGTTGACAGCAGGTCTTTGGCACCCAGGCTGGCAGTGGAGGCTGCCGCTTGAGCTTTGCTCTTAGAGAGGTCGAGGGTTTCCGCTGGCTCCTTCTGCTCCCACTTACAGCATTTCAAAGAAAGCTTTGCTTCTGGGCTCATTTCCATCTCTTCAGTGAAGGACTGGTTGTGCACTTCGTGGAAAATATCCAGGCGTATTTTGGTACGCTTCTGTATGTTCAGGTAAATGCTCAGGTTGAAAAACATTACACTGATGAAAGGGGTGAAAAACTCCAGCGTAGAGGCTGTCATGAGAAAATACCAGTTGTAGAAAAATTCAGCATAGCATTCCCCAGTGGGGATGATACTCCGGCCTGATATATACTCCCAGCTGATGATGGCAGGTCCGTAGAGCAGGAACGCCAATACCCATACCATCACCATCTTCAGCACCGCTCGCTTGGTGTTGCCTTGCTGGGCTCTGTAGGCGACCTGCAACGGGGAAACCTTTTCTTAAGAATGGCCACACACCCCAACCGGTTGAGGCTCTTCACAAATGAACTGTTAGCCTTCCTGGTAAAGTTGCTAGGCAATATCCCAGCAGTCTAACAAATTCATATGCCACAGGCAACAGGAGCGATCGCTAGATAAATCACACTCCTGCAGAGAAGACTTAGAACCCTCATCTTGCAGCTCCAAAAGCAGATGTGGCTTCTGCTTAGTGGAAATGTACTGAGTTGGTCGGAACGCGGCAGTCTGCCGCACCTCGCCACTCGCCCGAGTTGTCCCCAGCTACTCCCTGCGACTCCCGGGGAGACGCACGCCTCAAACGCTGGGCAGGCACCTCCCCGAGCCTTGCAGCTCATCCGTGTTGTATTTGGAGTCGGGGAACAAGCAGACAGCAATGGAGCTGATCTGCCTGCGAATTGCTCGTTACCTCCTGCGAAAGGCTGAGCGTTTTCATCTCCCCACGCACCCAGAGACCTCAGGGCTGTCTGTGCCCTGCCAAAGTTGGTACTGCAATCTGCTGCCTTGGTAGCCAGGGAGAAGCTGGGAGTCCGACTGCAATCCGCTTGTTTGTCCTGGAGATAATAAGCCCCTGCAAGTTAGTAATAGGTCTGCTTACCGCGCTGACTCACTTGTACGCTACTGTCCTGTCATCTGGGAAGGGAACACCTGCACAATGGGGTCTGAACCTTGAATGATTTAATTGTGCCGGAAATACTAATCTGAAACCACAGCTGAATTATGTATTTGTGGGTAATTATTGCTTTCCATCACCAGGCTGAAAGATTCCTAATTTCTGGAGGATTCAAAGGGCTTTTAATTATTACAGAGAATCTGGAGAGTAGAGCGGGAGGAGAGTTATTCCCCTCTCAGCTGCCATGACAGGACTCACCGCTCTTGTCACCGAGAGGAATCTGTCATAGCTAATCAGCACGATGTTGAAGACCGAAGAGGTGCAGAGCAGGTAATCAACTACCAGCCAGAGTTTGCAGAGGCTTCTCCCGAAGATCCATCTCCCCGTCAGCACATAGGGCACGTACAGGGGAATGCAGAAGGCACCTGCAACCAGAGGGTTCCCTCGGCGTGGGGACGCGGGGACCCGTTCGGCGCCTGCCCCCCCCGGGAGGACCGCGGGCTCCGGCCCCGCTCCGAGAGCCCC